CCGCACCTCCCTTTCTCCCCTCAGCTTCTGGCCCGATGCTGTCCTGTCCTCGGCTGTTGGCTGCCTTCCCCAGGTTCCTTCACTGCAGAGGGCTGCCTTCTCTTCTTCCTGGTTTGGCTCACAAGATACCTTCTTTATTGAGCCCTATCCCTGTTCGCTCTAAGCTGCAAACTGCCCACAAAGCTTTCCCACAACCCCTGGCATCTTCCATAATAACATAGACCGTAGTGAACTAAGGTCAAAACACTGGCAAGTTACCAGTGCCGGACCAGCTCTTAGGGAATGGAGGACCCGGCCTCCCAGGAAGCAGGTATTGAGCAAGACTCACACATCACTTCCTTGTGTTGGATAACAGTTTGCCAGAAGCTGGCAACAGGAAGAAACAGCATTCTGGGAGATGATTAGCCCCTGGGACTGTACCTGTCAAGAAAACTGATCAAACAGCTCTGCTTCCCTAGCAGTGACTGGAGGGTAGGGTTATCTCAAAAGATTAGAGCTGTTTAAAGGCCTCAGTATCCTCAATTGGACTATGCAGATAGCTCTGCAGTCAAGAGCAATGGCTGCTCTTGCAAAGGACCTGGGTTCAGTTCTCAGCACCCATATGGAGGCTCACAATCATCTGTAACTGCAATTTCAGGAGATTGATGCCCTCATCTGGTGGGAGTATTGCATGCATGTGGTACACTTATAGGCAGGCAAAATGCTCTTATACAAAAAAATCTTTTTAAAAGATACTGAGTTGAACATCAGACAGGACCCACATACCTTAAAATGCCAAACTAATGCCGAGCAAGTGGACTCACCACTTTATAGTGACTCTACTTTCAGGTGTGAAAACTTGCATATTGGTATGCTGTGTGCCTCGTGAAGCTCTGTAACTTAAATACTAACTCTTCAGCAGCACCAACCCATGATATGCTCATGAACATCACACTAGTTAACAGGCAAGGAGATGACAGCTTCAGTGGCATTACAGCGGCTCTAAGGACACGCAGGCAGCTCCAGGTGGCCCAGGCCCACTTGACTTACAAAAGCTATGCTATTTCTCCCATACCATGGGTAAGGCATTAGCACTTCTCAGCAAACAGTATTTCAAAGATTCTGGCATTTTGTGTAGGTGATCAGAACAGACATGGACAATATATGCCAGTAAGAGACCTCCTCAGCCCAGAATGTCCTCCCTATACACTCAGAAAACTCATTACCTGGTCATCCTAGTACACAGGCTGTGGCTATGACAAGTACTACTTACTCACTAAGATGGTTTGTCAACATGCTCCCTGAAGCAACTCTCACTCACTGGAGCTTGCCATTTAAAAGCATCTGCAGGGACTGGGCAAGTAGATCAGTGGTAGAGTACTTACTTAGCCTGTGAAAAATCCTGGGTTCTACACCCCAAGCACTGCAAAACGTTAAATTTAAAAAAAAAAAATTATGTTTAGAGATCTGGAGAGACAGCTTATCAGTTAAGAGCACACACTGCTCTTACAGAGGACCTATGCTGGACAGTCCATAACTACATGTAATTCTGGCTCTAGAGGACCCAATGCCTTCTTTAGGCTTCCTCAGGGACCCACACTCATGTGCATATATGCACAAAGACACATAGATATACACATACTTAAAAATCTTTAAAAATTGTCTCAAATGTATAGGCTAATTGCCTGTTAATCAGGAAACTGAATATTCATGCAGAATATTCCCATTTATCCATTACAAGATCTATTATGGATTCATTCCGATTGTACCTTCAACTAAGCAGTTGAACCAGTAGTGTTCTCTAGAATGAAAAATCTATATTACTAGGCAGGACACCAGGAGTGGATTGTAAAGCTATAATGGCCAAAATACTAACACTGAGCACTTCTTGCCTGAAACATCCCAGGCATTGACTACTGGTTTATTGAGACCGTCTCTGAAGAAATACCACGTTTCCTGTTTGGGGACATTTAACCAAAGTCACACCAATTTGAGGGAGAAAGCTGAATACACTCAAGCTCACTGACTGAACTTTGTTGTAACTTGTCATACTATTACTGCCTTGCTGACAGAACATGAGACATCCTAGTGGTCTCAAATCAGTCACTTCTCCACTACTGATGAGGAAGAGAGCTGTGCAGTGCTCTGGCTTAGGTGTCAGGGCTCTGAACCCACAAGTCTTTCCACTGTCTTCCATTCTTACTCAGTTGATGGGCCATTCCTTTAAGAATTTCTGGCATGGCAGTTACTGCAATCTCAAATGGAACCAGAATGGCATTTCAACAAGAAGTATTTCAACTCAAAAATTTAGGTTTGAGCACAGATATGCCAGTTATACTCAAAAGCCTAAAATATTTGCAGTAACCTTAGAGATCCAGAATGCTAATCTAAATCTTTGTAAACTGAAACAGAAGTTGAAAGCACCACACATCTATGAGAAGGACTGAAGAAAAGATAGTGGAGAAAGATAGTCATGAGTGTGCTTTGGTAGAAGAGACGACAGGATAGCTTACCCTACTGTTTTGTTTCGTTTTCCTTTTTTTGGCTTTTCGAGACAGGGTTTCTCTGTGTAGTTTTGGTACCTGTCCTGGATCTCGTTCTGTAGACCAGGCTGGCCTCAAACTCAAGAGATCCACCTGGCTCTGCCTCCCAAGTGCTGGGATTAAAGGTGTGTGCCACCGCCACCACCACCTGGCTTTACCCCACTGTTTTAAACCAGAGGCACAGGAGGTCAAAAACAGGCTGAGACGTGCTGACAGAGACATACTTTAGAAAACCAAGAGGGGCAAGAGGAGACAAGCTTCAGAGCTAGATTTACCACCAGCAGAGCAGGGCTAACCTCTGGCCAGTGGGCAAACAGACCCTTTGCTTGGCCTCTGCTATGGCTGTGCTACGACACCCAACCCCTGAATCCTTCACTCTGAAGGAAGTTTCCTAAGCAGGGAAAAAAATTGCAGTGCAAGCCAACAATGTTCCTTGTATTACGTGAATGGCAAATATCAGATGTGAGGCTGAGCCCATTCTCCAGCAGAGGCAGCTCCTCCATCACACTGCAGGAGTGTGCCCCTATTACTCGAGGCTGTCAAACGGACCTGCTCTTCGGTATAGGGTAGGGACACACTTTAGCCTCTGATGGCCTCTTTGTCACAACTATGATGCTACAATGAGCAAATAGCCATAAATAATATACATATATATACAAATGAGGAGGCTATGTTTAATAAAATTTTATTTATGAACACTGGAGTTTGAATTTCATATACTTTTCTCATGCTACAAAATATTTTTTCAACTTTTAAAAAAACATTTGTTATCCTTTATTCCCCCAATCTTTTAAAAATCATTCTTAATTCACAGGCTGTGTAGGTACAGAAGAAGGTGGATTGGCCCAGAGCCTGGGCTACTGACCCCTAGGCTAGAGTTAAAGATTTGTTTTGCCCACTTAATCTTCAACATGCAGAGTGTGAACCATGTTACCTGAAAAGGCCACAGCAGTATTACTACATCTATTTCATTCACTCCATTCAAGCACTAACTTGGCAGCTATCCATATTTAGGTACTGTGCAAGATCCTTCCTTGGGACACTGGAGGGAACAGGACACGGCTCTTCTCTCAAGCTCTCAGTCTCCACAGCATCTCAACACGGTAATTTTTCAAGAGTATCAGAAAAGATCCAAAAGTATGAAGTACTAGGCTGTTTTGAGAGACAGTTGTATTCAGTGCTTACGTTGACTGTAACAAAGTACCACAAACTAGGTGGCTTGGAATAGAAATTTATTTTTTCACCATAATAGAAGATGGAAGTCTGAAGTAAAAACAGCAACAGAGTTGGTTCCTCCTGGAGGCTCTGACGGAAACTGTTCCATGACCCTCTTCTAGCTTCTGTGGCTCAGGGTGTTCACCTTTGCCTCTATCCTTCCAAGATTTCCAATGTGTCTGTTTCCCCTTCTTTTCTCTTATCAGGATTCTCTTATCAATGGTGTTAGGGCCCACCCTAATGCAAGATGATGTCATCCACAGATCCTTACATTCACCTGTAAAGGCCCTTCTTCTAAATTGAGGCCTTATATATAGGTTCAGGCAGACATTACCTGTTGCAGAGTACACTATTTAACCCATTATAATACTGTTAGAGAACTCCTAGAAAACATGGCCAGGATCATCCAAACAATTTTCAGGAGGAAGTAATAGAAGCTGACTTTTAAAAGACGAAAGCTGGTGTTGGTCAGACAGTCATGAGGGAGAAAAGAGAAATCAGATTCAGGTCGTAGCCAGACTGGAAGCAACACCACATGGAACAATCTGTAAACAGCAAGTAGTTACGCTTGGCTGGAGAACAGGGTGAGAAGTGAGACAGTAGTAGGCAGGAAGCCAGAGAAGTCAACAGGAACTTTATCACCAAGTGCTGCGTGCTCTGATGGAGAAGGCCCCAAGGAAAGCCTGTGATCCTCTTCCATGGCTAACCACTTGACTGTACCACATCTCAGATCACCTTGTCATTAAACCCCTGACAAGACTGAATTAGACAACTTTCAGGCAGCTTCTCTCAACCATGATCAATTTCATGACTCAGGTTTGATGATTTTAAACTGAAACCCATGGTAGCTTTCTACTACTAGTGAGATGGCAGTCTTTCGTTTCCTCTGGGAAGTATTCTTATTGCTCACTGTCCTCCAATGTCAAGGGCTCACCTTACTTCTGAAACACCCTGTACTTCCTGTTGCTGCCCTTTCACTCCTGAAACTGAGAGCTGAGAAAGTGTGGTTTTCCTTCTACAACTACACTCACACAAGATGAAATCAAAACAGAAGTCAAGTTCATGACACAATCACTGGTCATCTTATATACAACAGGTTTAAAAGCAGTTAAACTTATGTACACAGACAAAAATAAAGAAAAATACAACTGAAAAAGACATAGCTACCCTCTAAGAGAAAGAAAAATTATGTAATGTGTCTATGCATTCCACAGAAATATATACAGGGAAAACTTCCAGAAACCTCAGTAAACCAAGCCACACTTAGAAAAAGGAAGCTGATTTTTATTTTATCAACAGCCATTCTTGAACATGAACATGCATACGTAATAGTCTACGCACACATCACAGTTTTTAACGTTAGTTAATAAAGGTTAAACACACAACATACATCCTCACAAAAAAAAAGTCAAAATGCAAACTTAAAACTTTAAACAAAAGTCTTACTAATTTAAAAAAGGTTTGTGTTGGGTACCATTTGTACAACACAGTTAATTTAAACATTTCATTTTGGCTGGACATGAAAAAGCGGCAGTAGAAAATAAATTCATGAGGGTTTTAAATAGCAGAATAGGCAGTTTTGCCATGCAGAAGAAGCAATATTAAATATTAGTTTTCAAAAAAAATCCACATTTAAAAATATTTAGTTCAAGTCACAGAACTTTTCTCAGTAGAGACCTCAATGCAATGCATAATTAGCTGCCTTAGATGGCCTGTTTTGAAAGGACAAAATCCCTTTCAAAGTATAACTTTACTGATTTTGGCACAGAAAAGAAGTCTTAAGAACAAGAACATGATTAAAAAAGTGGGAAGAGGAACAGAGGAAAGAAACCAAAGCAAGAATAAGGAGATTTAATGGCAATCACTAAAGACTGCATTCTCGGTCACTGAAGAACACTGTTGTGCTCCATCTGCAGCAGGGGCTTGCTCCACAGCGCTTACTGCAGCATGGACCTAATTTGCTTGGAGGTAGTCTCATCATTCAAATGTTTTGTCGTGTACCTATAAGAGACAGTGATCAATGTTAGGAAATCCAAGTCTGTATGTGCTCTGTAATAAGGCAAGATGAGCAGCTGGCCAATCTACCGCACAAAATCACACCTTCGAGTGGCAGTTTTAATCCTAACCAGGCTCACTCTGCTTCTCTCCTCCATCCAATAGAGCAGCCTGTTGCTGCTGGTCATCTAGTTAGAAGCACCTTGCTGAAATATCAGCCAGACTCTGAAATAAATAGCTACCTCTCATGGATAGCAAAATTACAGATCTATCCCAGGTGTTGGCAAATTATGATCCCTAAACCAAATACAGCCTACCACCTATTTTTTTCATGGCATGTGACTTAAGTACATATACTTTTTTAGTTTGTTTGTTTTTTGGTTTTTTGAGACAGGGTTTCTCTGTGTAGTTTTGGTGCCTGTCCTAGATCTCACTCAGTAGGCCAGGCTTGCCTCAAACTCACAGAGATCTGCCTGGCTACATATACATTTTTTAGATGTTGGATCGCTAAGGGAAAAAAATAAATGAACAAAACAATAGCCAATATTTGATATTAGCATATGAAATTTAAATTTTAATGTTCACACACAAAAGTTGTATTGAAGAGGTAGGAGTAGGCATAACCAAATACACTGAATGAATGTATGAAATTGTCAAAGAATAAAAACATATTTAAAAAGTTACACTAGAAAATTCCAAGTTGGTCTGAAGTTACCTTACTGGCACAGTAGAAGACTTAAGTAGCTATTCTAGCAAACATCCCTCAAAGTGCAAAGTATTTACTCACATTCTGGCCCCCTTACAGTTTCACTCTACACTGTGTAAAAACATTGCCCTGCCAGGCAGTAATGACACACACCTTTAATTCTGGCACTCAGGAGGTAGAGGCAGGAGGATCTTTGTGAGTTTGAGGTCAGCCTGGTCTATAGAACGAGCTTCAGATCAGCCAAGGCTACACGGAGAAACCTTGTCTTGAAAAACCAAAAGTACACTGAACTATCTATATTCTCTAAGTACCTACTTCCAGGTAGGTGTGCTGTGGGATGTTCTGTATGTCCTGTGGGAGCCCTTCTTGGGTTCTTTGTGGCGTTACCCAGCAGGTCCGCATAGAGGATGATTAGGACCATGGGCCTGAGTGCAGGTGTCTGAGATGGTCTGCACTTGGCTGTGCTGGGGGATGGTCTGTA